TTTCGGCAGCGTTGGAGGGAAGCCTCTTACTCAAAGGCGCTATATGGTTACAATTGCAGGTGAAATGCTGGGTAAGTTCTGGGCGTGAGGTTGGAAGGAATGTAGCGACGAGCGTTGGGGGAAAAGCTGCAGCTCTCTGCTGCAAGGGTCTTAGTCATTTCTCCTTGATTTAAACATAAAGAAAAAACTCTAATTGTTTGCGAAGCCTTGTCTAGGCAAACGAGTTGACTGTGAACTTGGTCTAAAGCGAGCTCTGCTGGTGATTCCTAGGGTGTGCAGATTTATCTTTTCTGCATTTACTTAACCTGGCAGTGAACTGCACGAGCTGCCATTTGTTATCCAGAGACAGACTTCACCTCAAGCAAGGACTGTTCCACAAAATCGCAATAATTACCCAATAACCTTCATAGCAAATATTATTATTGAAAAGACATTATTTTGGGGAAGGGATATAGGAAAGATTCCTTATGCGATTCCTTATCCTTGCAAATTTTACACGTTCTTTATGTCAGATTTTATATTGTTTGTGCGTGTAGCCACAGGAACATGTGATTGTGATGGTCCATGTGTATTTGCCTTCCAGAGAGATATTCGGGAGGATGCTTTAATTCGAAAGGAATAATATTTTCAACGATGACCAGGCGGCTGTGGGAGATGTGGGTTTGTGCTCTGGCTAGCAGCTCTAGCAGCAAATCCGTGAGATTTTAAGGGCAGGAAAGAGAAAGGTCAAAGAAAGCAAAGTGATGTCTTGACTTGGTCAGGAGATTTAGATATGTCTGCGTTTAATGCGTTGAATCTGTATTTGCGGGGAGGGAAAAGGCACTGCCTCAGTATCCAGGGTTTGAAATCGAAACCTCATGATCCGCCCCTCATGATCTGTTCCATTCAATTTCCCATGGAGCAGATTGCAAACCCCTTCATTGTCACCCTTCCACAGATACACACTTATTGAATGTAAGGAAATGGCAGAATAATAATTTCCCCATAATGTTCAGCAATTAGGGCATTTGCATGGTTTAGACAAAGCTGCAGAGCTGTAATTTACGGATGACTTTCCACCGGGTTGTTGTACTTCTGCTTTAGAGAAAGTTACGCCTTGCGAAGTCACTAGTTACACAAATTGAGGGAGTTGCCTAATCTTTAATTGTCCTTATGCTTAGACATGACAGACTGCACTCAAGTATTTCTTTCAAAGGATTAAGTAAACTATATTTCAAATTGCATAACACCCCTTGCCGTGCCTAAAGTAAAACAAACTCGCCTGCATTAATCCCCCAAGCAGAGCAGAAAAATAATGTGCACAGATAAGACCTCTCTTCTCATTCCCAGCGATTATTCTCCATGATATTTTTCCCTCTGAAAACAATTCGGACCTGGGAATATTTTGGTAAAGTTCGGCAGGCTGGGTTCGCTTGAATTTCAGATTTAAAGCGGATTAGAAAAATCTGCATTTCTGGATTTGAATGGCCTCAATCGCTCAGTCGTGCTGCTCGGGAGAGGGCAGGGCCAGAGATATGGAAAAGTTGTCGTTTCTAGCTAACTTTCTTTTGTCGTGAGAGAGTTTCTTGCGGTAAGGGTGGGTTTATATGCTTGTGGGTTTGGTTGGTTTTTTTTCTTTTCCATACTTCGCGAATCTGTACACTCCTTTATGTGGAATGTGGTCCAGAAGCCACATTCAAAAACGTGAAAATCCCTAGTAACAAACCTTTTCGTCCTAGACAATGAAAAATTACTATCTGCGGTGATATCCAGGTTCCTAAAATAGCAGTCGAACGGGTGTGAGTGTGTGTTTCTATATTCACTATATCATTCAAATAACGCAGCATTGTTGAATATTGAGCAATCACGAATGGTTTGTGTCTAGTATCATTCCCGTTTACAAGCGAATTTTATTCCTTGGAAAAGGACTTGTATATCAATAAAGCCCAAACTTTTAAAGGGTTTTCATGCTTTTACTTAAAACTATAAAATTTTATGGCATATAATATAATGCACGCCTATCATATATAACTTTCTGGTATTCCTATTGACAGAAATGTGACAGCCAGTGTTCTATAAAATCTCCAGCTGTTTATTACGGAAATTATTTTCAAATGTGCATTTGGATATGTAATTTTAAAGCCTTTCCTATCTAAAAAAAAATATAAAGTGTATGTATATGTGTTTGTTTAGTGTTGATAGGAAGGATACACAGACACAAAGGCTTCTGACTTCATTTGTCTGACACAGGAGGTTGACTCTAAATACTAAATATTTGTAAAACTGTGAGATGTTTGAGCTAAGCCAACGGTTTGTACAACCGTTTCTTTAACGTTAAAGACAAATAAATAAATTAAATATAGTACTCAGTCAGCAATGTGCAGACCTTGAAGAGGTACACAACAACCTCACCCGCTTGTACCGTTTCACCTTTCTCTCATTTTCACTCAAAGTAACAGATACAGCCAAAACCTGAATATTCAAAGTAGATAGCACTAGCAAAATAAAACAAAGCCCATCTTCCAGCTCTCCTCAAACCACCCTGCTCTTTTGCAAACCTGACTTTATGTCACATGAAGGTAAACAATGCAATCTACTGAATCCCTGCTACTCCAAACCTGAGCAGCAAAAGTGATACTCACATCTGTCTTGAAGATAGGTAGATAAGATATGTATATACAAACATATATATTTTTTGGAAGCTGTGCTCAAGTCTTTTCCCTAACTAGTCAGTCTGTGCCCCCTGAGATCACTCAGCTAAGTAACAGCTCTGAGGGTAAGGATCAGGTCTTAATGCTACCCAGAGAAAGACAGTTCCTTTCACCCTTTCATTCAAGTCCTGGAAATTCAAAGACTAAAGTAAAATCCGGCCATAAAGTTTATTGCTGAGTAATCACACTCTAGTGAGAAAAGTCCACTTAAATAAAAAGAATGTTGAAGTAAACACGCAGCTGGGGCCTACACCACAATGGCAGCCAGCAATATAAGGGGGAAAGGGAGAGAGCAGAGCTAGGGGAATATTTACAATCTTCAATAAACCAAGCCCGTATTTCATAATATGCAGCACTCTAATGACCTGTAGTCTCTTATATTAATGCTACAAGTTACAGTCAAATGGTTCGCTTTTAAAAAAAAGGAAAAAGTCACAGGAACATAGATATGTATACACACATACACACCCTTTGTATACATAAATACACTGATATTAGACACACATATGCATGTGCATGTCTTTGCACAGGCGCACACATTGATTTGTACATGCATACACACGAGGATAATTTAAATATATTTATACTTATGCAATTACGTATAAGAACTGGGAAAAGTTATAGCAATGTTATAAATGTGCAACCCCGAAACACACTACACACTCGCAGATGGACATATATACATAGCTACGGCCTTCTGCACAACCCAGTGCAGAAAACGAGAGTCTTGAGCCCAGTACAGTCTGTGCCATCTTAATACTAGCTCTGATGTGCAACATATTTCGCCAAACCGAAGATTATTAATGTATCAGCATGCCTCCAACTCTATCACGCCTACATAAGACACTGCCCAGATAATATCAAACCTTATCTATTTTGTTTCCCCCTTTTTTAATCGCCTACAGTAACTACTCCTTGCTAAACAAAACCTCTCCAAAGTTGGAGAGTCTATTGGAGGAAAGGAAGTAATTATCTTCTGCGGTAGTCAAAGTGATTAAAGTTAGGCCCCAAAATCCATCTCTGCCAAAGTCGCTTATTGTGGTTTACTTTGATTTGATCGTTAAAATAGAGAGCTAGCTGCTGCGAGTGAAGGAATGGGGGGGGGGGGGGAAGGGGAGGAATTGCATCGCAACCTGGATCTTTAGTGGTTGATCCTGCCTCTCGGGCTCAGTGGGACCGTCCTGAAAAGCTCCAGGCGGAGAGGAAAGGAAAGGGAAAGGTAAAGAGAAAGAGAAAAAAAAAAAGAGAGAGGCGAGAGGCAGCGAGAGCGAGCAGGAGCTTCGGCATCCCCACTGTCCAAATAAACTTTAAGGAACTTGTACACAAAACTTACCTTTGACTTGCAAGGAGCCATTTTTCATACAGTATTGAGAACTTGTGGTTTGGATACTTCTGTCCCTAAACCTGACAATTTGAATGGCCAGGAGGCACACGTAGCCTGCAAAAGAGTCAAATGAAGTCCAGCGTCAGTGAGATTATATGTTATGTGGTATATAATGTTGGATGTCAACTCCCCAAAACCATAAAACTTACTTTAATGGCACCACGTGACTTTTTATAGCCAGTGAGCCTATCTGTCTGTGCTATGGATGATTTTACGATCTAATTCATAGACAAAACCCTATTCATTTGGCACCCAAATGTCATATAGCCGGAACTGGGGCTTATAAAGTTTACTGTTTTATAACTTTTAAGGGAAGGCATCATTGTAACCCGTCAGTAAATGTGCAAATCTTTAGTTGCTCTTAGAAGCTCAGAAGAGTTAACCATTCAAGCTCTGATGGGGTAAGTAACATTACGTTTATGGCAAACTAATTGTAGCGAAGAAAACCAAAAATCTTTAAAGGGCGAAATTGGGAATGTGGCTAGCGAGGGTTACTAATAGACGCAGAGGGCTCGGAGGTGTCTGTCCTGCAAATATACTTAATGAAACCACAGGAGAAAATCTAGAGCGATGCAAACACGTCTTGGAGTTAGCAGCGTGTTTTAACAAAGCACATGGGTGGGTGTTCTCTTTTTTTTTTTCTTTAACCATCAACAAACTTCTAACAGTTGATTCACCCACAAAGGGTGTTGATTGTGGTCCTGCGATGCAGCTTTCCATCTAGCGAGAAACCAGTAAGGAGGTACTTGTGGTCAAACTTTCAATTAAAAATAGTGGTAGCGGACGATAGCAGCACCTACCATTTGCAACGTGCAGCAAGAGCCAGGTAAAATAATATTACAAACTCTGCATGAGTTAATTTTTTTTTTTCAGAGGCAAATCAGGAAGCACAACTTCTTGCTTTGCACAAACCAGGTCACGAAAACTTTACAATAGAAAGTTTATTTTTTTGTTGATTTCCAGTCAGGTTTTTTTTTAAAAACAAATAATAATAAAAAAAAAGCTGATCACAGTTTGCTCAAACAGCCAGACTTTGACTATATTTGTAACTTTGTTCACAAAAAACATACATCACAGAAGCTGCGCTTAATAAGAGCCACTTCTAAGAGTTCGTGCAAAGAGTCATATACAAAGGCACAGCAAGGACATACTGCTTGGAATCACAGTTTTCGTCACAGATTCACTATTCACTACACGTAGGACAAGTTCAGTTGATTTCATCATTTCACCTCTACAACAGCATTAATTACACAGGAATTATATAGGTAGTTTGAATAAAAATATTTTTAACAGCTTGGAGCTATACAGACATTAACACTTGACCACACATGCACAGTTAAGCAGGTTGAGTGCAACACATAACATTTGTACTAAACCGGGGGAGGGTTTCTTTCTCTCTCTCTCTTTTTTTTTTTCTTTTTCTTTTCGTCTTTTTTTTTTGTTTAGTTTAGTTTTGTTTTAACAGTTACTTCAAGTAACACAGCTCGCTTCATATAAATAAGTTAAAACATCTATTATTTTTTCAAGACAAAGCCATTCAAGACAAAGAAATGTACGATAAAAGCAGATCTACTTATACACGCGAGAGAATGGTAATAAACAGGCTCATGATTAAAAGATGAATAAGGGCGACAAGAACAGGGTTTCTTCACAGAAGTAACACAAGGAAGTTTTAGAAAGTCAACTTAGTACTGACATGAGACGCAGGGTCAGCTAATACTGCTCAGTACTTTTAATTGATCAAACGCTCAGGGACGGAATGCCCCTCCTGCAGCTGCCATGCTCATACTTTTCAGCTTATTATCCTTTTTCCATTTCATTCTCCTGTTTTGGAACCAGATCTTTATTTGTCTCTCTGAGAGGCAAAGAGCATGTGCTATTTCAATCCTTCTTCTGCGGGTCAGGTATCTATTGAAGTGAAATTCCTTTTCCAGCTCCAAGGTCTGATAGCGGGTGTAAGCAGTCCGAGCCCTTTTCCCTTCTGGTCCCCCTATGTTGTCTGGAAGAGAAAAGTACATGATTTAGATTCTCAGCAGCCACTCGGATCTTTCGTGACTTACTGCATCTACCAGCGTCCAGGACCGTTATACTCAGTCCTGCTTGGTTTTGTTTCTGGTTTGGATAAACGCTCAACAAGTTTCCTCCTCCAGCCCCTTTTAGGAAAGGCTTGGGGGAGGGGGATTTGGTGGTTTCGGTAAGTTTTCGCTTGCATTTGGCGTTCGATTTTTAGTTTTTAATTGATTTGGGGTCATTTTTAGAAGGGTAACACCCCACCCCTCCCGCCTTCCGCAGATAAGCTGTTTTGGAGGATACTTCTGCTGCTAGCTGTGTGTTCAGGGCTGGGAAAGCAAAGCTGAAGCTTGCAGCCCTTTCCCACGGCTGAGCTGGGGAAGGCTCTGGGAGGCTCCTAGCCCCCGGCTGCTCCCCCAGCACCCAGGGCAGAGCAAATACCCAGGGCGGAAAGTTGCTCCGCTTCCCCGCTCCCTCGAGCCCTCTCCCCGGAGTTTGGGGCTACTCGCCCCTCCTCCCCCTCCCTACGGCTTCCCAGCAGTGAAAACTGCCCTCCTCGCCCTCTCCTATTCTCTTTTTAATATAGCTCGGCAAAATAAATGGGGTCAGCCGCGCCGTTCCCACTGGAGGAGCCCCCTTCCAGAGGAGAGCCGGGAGCAGCCCCTGCTCCCGAGCCCCTTCTGGAAGGCTCTTGCTGCTCTCCCGCTGCCCGCCGGGGCCGGCGCTGGGAGCCAGCCGGGCTGGGTTACTGGGGCCGGGCGGGTTCTTTATATTTCTTTTCATGTTTTCGAAGGGGGGACACGGCTCTCCCGGAGAAGGGAGCCTGCTTCCTTGAGAGCAGAGTTGTGCTGTGCGCGGAGACTGCCCGCTCTCACGCCCTCCTCTCCCCTCTCCCCGACCTTGCTCGGCACAGCCACCCGGTTTACATTAAATCCTCTTTTTTTTTTCTCCAGAGAAATAAAGAAAGAACAGGGTATTTGCTTTACCATGACTTATGTGCAGTTTTCGCATCCAGGGGTAGATCTGGGGCTGTGAAGGCTGGGCTGTGCTTTGGTCGGTCGGGGCACTTGCCTGCTCGCTGCTTGCTGGAGTGTCTTCCTCAGTCCCGGACGAGGTGCCAACCCCGTCCCTGCTGATGTGCGTGTTGCTGCTGGAATTGGACGAAGTGCTGGTGGAGTTGGCGAGGGAGTTTTTCACCCCGTGGTGACTCTCGCTGGTGACAGGCGAACCGGCCACGGCGGTGCAGGGCAGAGGGTCGGGGGGAGGCGAGTGGGAAGCCGTCGCGGGCTGGTTGTACCTGGGCTCTGTCGAGGCAGAGGTGGTGTTGGCCGGGTAACTGCGGGGTCTCTCACTGGCACCAAAGTGGGTGGAAGCAGAGCGCCCGACGCTGAGGTCCATGCCATTGTAGCCGTATCCGTACCTGCCGGAGTGCATGCTGCCGGAGTCCCTGTATTGCTCGCTCACCGAGCTGTGATCTCCATAATTATGTAACGGGTAGTCCGGGCCATTTGGATAGCGACCGCAAAATGAGTTTACAAAATAAGAGCTCATTTGTTTTTTGATATGTGTGCTTGATTTGTGGCTCTTGGTCGTTTTGTGCGTCTATAGCACCCTTGCACAATTTATGATGAATTATGGAAATGACTGGGACATGTACTTGGTTCCCTCCTACGTAGGCACCCAAATATGGGGTACGGCTCCACATCACGTGCTTTTGTTGTCCAGTCGTAAATCCTGCCTGATGACCTCTAGAGGTAAACTCGTGCACTGGTGGGGGAATTGGGAGGGCGCGGGCGGCCCCGTGCGCGCCGCCGCCGCGCGCCGCCGCCGCCACCGCCCGCCCGTCCGCCGGCCTCCAGCGCCACCCGCTGGCGGCGAGGGAGATGGCGGCTGCTCCGCGGGGTCGGCCCGGGGTGACGGCCCCCGACGGCGGCGCGGAGCGGGGCACGCCGCAGCCGGCAGCGGCGGAGGGGCGGTGGGGCCGGCAGGGCCGGCTCCTCCGCCGCGGCCAGCGGAGAGCTCGGCGTGCAGGGAGCGCTCCGCTTTGTGGCTGCCTTCGCCGCCTTGCGGGGCTTATTTACACCAGTTTACAAATTCTACATGATCCATCCTCGGGTGTTGGCCGCGCTTATGTCCCTTCTCTATCTACATATATATTAGTTTATTTTTCTCCCCCCTTTTTCCCGTGTCGGCGGATTCGAGAGGCACCCGGTTCCTGCCAATGCGAAATGGCAGGTACCTATGAAAGACAAATATCGTGCAGCGTTTTTCATACTGGGGGTCAAATTCCAGTCAGCTTTACGGCAGCCGCTGTTTTTCCACCTCTCGGGAAAAAAACAACACCCAACAAAACCAACCAAACCTCTAAATGCGGCGGTAGCCATTTTGCATTAGTGCTTTCCAGATTTGGCTTTTAAAATGTTTAGAGCGGTAGCCCAAATCGCGCTGCCTTCCAAACAAAAGAGCCTCGATACAAGCGTATTTATACACAGCTTCACACTCACACTCACGCACACACAACATACTATAGATATAACATATATATTAATCAATATTTTCGCTGAGCTCATTTTACTTGTACAGAACTCGAAGTGAAAGCCTCTTATGGCAGCTACTTTTCTCTACAGTATCTATTTATTTTTTGTTTCCAGTGCTAAGAAATGCGAATGTGAATTAGGATACCACACAAGCGGGGAAGAAGACCGCCGCCTTAATGATAAACATTTTTCTTTTAATTAAAAATAAAGAAAATAAAATGAAAAAGACCGACCCAAGCCTCCGAAGCCCCAAGAAATGTAGTCTCTAATTAAAAGCCCCTTCAGTGTATAGCTGAGCTCACCGAAACCTCAGTGTAAGCCCAACGGGAACCACAGAAATTCGCCTGCCTCAAAACCTCTTCCCTCGCTTCCCCTGAAGTTTAACGCCGAGTTTTTACTTTAATACCAGTAGTGCACATTAAGCAGTTTAGCGGCATTTAAAATAAATCTCTCTGCAATTCATCTTCGCTTTAACTGCAAGATTATACCCAGGGGTTTATAGATTTTTTTTTTTTTAAGGATTTTTCCTTTCCTTTTTGCTTTTTAAATATCTTATACATGTGTAAAACTTTTTTCCTCCCCTGCAGACCATAAGCTCCCAAACACAGCATAACGAGATGGCCCGACATAGCGGGACTTAGCAAAAACAGAAACCCAACATTTTCTAAAATCTCTCGTATTTCTACAATATGAATATTGTTAACTAAAAAAAAAAATTAAAAAATCCCTCGCTGATCTCTTCTCACACAGGTACTCCAGGGACACTCACCCACACACAGATGCTCATCTCAAACATTTAGAAATCTGGGCCATTTCTCTAGGACTTTAAGCAATGCCATCTATGGTTTGGGAAGGTGGTTATATACATACGTGCCTGTAGCTCGAAAGCTAGGACTTCCACATATATTAAAGAAAGTCACAGATGATTGCAAAGGTACATCTTTTAACCAAGCCTTTGAGGAATTAATAGACTGTGACAAACCTATAGGATTTTACTAGCAGAAGGAACACAAGGTATATAATAGGAATACTAAGAGCTAAGTAAAGGCCTGGTAGCGTTTCTTAAACGTGGTTCTACTCCCCTGACTTTTCCTCTGTTTCTTCGCTGCTGGGCTGTGTGGAATTTATGAATTTGTTTTCCTTTTTCCATTTCATCCGCCTGTTTTGAAACCATATTTTAATCTGGCGTTCAGTAAGGCAGAGAGCGTTTGCAATCTCAATACGTCGTCTTCGGGTTAAGTATCTGTTAAAATGAAATTCCTTCTCTAACTCTAGCGTTTGGTATCTGGTGTAAGTTTGCCTCCCTCGTCTCCCATGAGTTCCATATACTGTACCTGTAGAAGTAAAGACAAAACGATCGCATTGGACAGGGCCCAGTGATTTCAGACCAGAAAGAGTGATTAGTATATTCTGCCTTCTTTTGCAGGCATAATAACAGAGGTGTGGGGATGGGGGGTGAGAATTGCTCTGGTTTCCTGAAGCCTTTTTTCCCTTTATTTCTCTTTTTGTCTCTCTTTTCCTTTTCCCCTGCCTGACTAGCTGTAAATTCGGATGTGCAGCGTGCTTAAAGTGGTGGGATAACTGGGGTACAAAGAAGCTTTAAGGTGGACCTAGGGAAAGTGCAGTAGGTAGCACCCGTGTGAATCGCTGAGTGCTGTGTATCCTCTGCGTATTGAGAGCCTGTGCACACACACACACATGTACAAACACACGTGCGATCCGGGGAGCTGCACGCATGTGTGTGTGTGTGTGAGCGTATGCACGCATATGCGGGTGTGTTTACACAAACACGCTCTATTGCCATGGCTGTGACTACAGAGGGGATGTGATTTAAGTATAATTATAGACATCAGCTAAAGATCATAGAAGAGCCTCTGCCATTTGCTCCGGAATTTATTGCCCTTGAATGTAAACCAGCATCGGAATGGTCGTGCAAGAAAGGGATAACTCTCCAAAAAAGAAATGCAACCCACAGTCCAGCAAACATAAACTCGGGAGGAGGGAAGCCATTAACAGACACTGAAAGTAAAAGTCTTACTACGGGATTCTTAAAAATAAGTGCCACCCCAATACATAACCCCCTCCTCCCCTTCCCCAAAGCACCACTCCTGGTCAGAATAGTTCAATTACGTGAAGTTAACTCCTAAGTCAGAGAAAATCAGAAATGCGATGCCATGGAAGTGCACCCACGGCCCCAGAAACGTGCTCTCAATCTCCAGTATTTACAGGCTAATGAGCTGGGGGAGGGGGACGAGGAGGAATGTGCCACAAATGCATTGGATCCTCAGAACAGAGGGCATATTCCCTGCATCGCTCTCTGACACAATGAAGAAGCGGAGCAGGGGCTGTAGGGTGCCTTTAAGAAAGTAGTAAAACTGCTCTGCTCCTCGTTTTTCTATTTATTTTTATTATTATTTCTTTTTATTTTTGCCTACTTCCCAATGATTCCCCTGTAACTTCCACCAGCGAACCGACAAGCTGGGCTCTCGGCCACTCATCCCAGGATGCCAATGTGCCAGGTCTAAAATAACCTGGGAAGGTTTCCTGTTACACAGTGCCCTGCAGGACCCGTGTCTCTCCAGCAGCCTGTACTTTGTCTAACAACCAAACCAAACCAAAAATCTTGGGGAAAGAAACTTTTCCTTCCTTCCTTTCTCCCCCCCCCCCCCCCCCCTCCTTCCCCATTGCATCCGAGTGCCTTACCAGCGCAGGAGTTCATCCGCTGCATCCAGGGGTAAACAGGGCTCGTGTACTTCCGGTCGGTGCCTTCGTCATTTACAATTTTGGCTTGGATGCCGCTGGATTTGTACTGTTGATCGGGAGGAAAGTGCAGGTAGTCCCCGGCCCCCCTCTGTTTGCCACTGCTGGAAGGAGAAGCGCTACTAATCTCCTTGTCCGAATAAAAACAAGAGGTTCCGTACTCATAGGAAGCCCGATTGCAAGCAATGACGGTGTTGGACTGTTGGTAGAAACAAGGTGAGGTGTAAGTCTTGTCCTGCAGGCTGCTTGCCCCATACGAAGCCGGAAAATGCCTGAGAGCATCATAGCCCGCCGGGTAAAGGGGGATCTGCCCGAGGAAAGAGTCCTGGCCCCCGGGCAGGCTCCCCGGGAAAGTGGGATTCACGAAATAGGAACTCATTTGCTCTTCCCCCTTGCCCGGACCGTGATTTGTTGTGTATTAGTACATCTGGCGATAACTATTAGGAGTCATCGAAGTGCTTTGTTTCTGGATGGCCGAGCGCCAAAAGCGACAGCAGAAAATAGGAGCAGCTGACGGCGGGGCGGCCAATGGGAGCGCGCGCGGCGCCCGCTCCCCCGGGGCCGCCGCCACCGCGCCGCCAACTTACCGGCAGCCCCGGCCCCACCGCGCCGCCCCGCGCAGCCCCGCGCAGCGCCGCGGAGACAGCCGCGCCCCCGGGCGGCACCGCCCCGCCGGCTGGAGGGAGCCCCATAGTAATAATAATAATAACAGTAACAGTAATAGTAGTAATATTTCCAGGCAATGTGACAGCAGCGGACGTGGGGATCCTCCCCCAAGGGGGGGCAGGAGGTGTGTAGAGGGGGGCGACGCGCCAGTCGTGGGGCCGCCAACTTTTAAGGGAGGGAGCCGCGTAGACCCGTGGGGATGGTAGGTGAACAGCTCCGGCCCTCCGGTGGACGGAGGGGGACACGAAGAAGGGGGGCGAAGGAAGAAGGCAGCGGTGGATGCTGCTGAGGGAAAGTTTTGAGCGGAGGGAGCACGTGAAAGGGGGAGAGCAGCGCCGCGCAACGCAGCGCGGGATGGGATGGGGGGAAAGGCCGGCCTCTCTCCATTTTCCCACGTCTATTCCACAACCACATCCCGGAGGTTTTAGCCGATTTTTAAATTTATTTCATTGTTTTTACCCCGCTGAGGCTTCCCTTCGGAGCCCGCCTCAGCGCAGAATCTAGCTTTTGTGAGAGAAACCTACGCGTCCTGCATGGAAGAGGTCTCATATCTTAATGAACACCCTCATAATTAACGCGGAGGTTTCGGCTGTGGTAGGAAACGGTGGCCTTCTGGAGAATGAGATTTTTGGTTTGCACCAAGTGCCTTGGAAGGCCCCAGCAAGGGCTGGGCAGGCTCCCGATGGCCCCTGAGCAGCCCAGCTAAACTTCCATGTGTCTCTGCTCCCCGAGTTTCCCTCCGCCAGAGTCAAGCCGAGGGAATCAAACATTCAAATTCGAAAACGAACCAGTAGGATTATTCCTAATTAATACAGCCCCTCTAATGAGTCAGCAGAAGCCAATCGGTTTCGTTGTTGCTCCGAATAGTTTGATTAAACGCGGATGTGTGTCTTTAAGAAGAGGAAAAACACCAAACCAAACATCTACATGAAACAAACATTTCCGCCTCAAATTTTCAATGGCAGCTACCCCACAGCGGAAATAAAATTCTTGGCTCAGGGCAGGGACAGTAACTGTGCTTATGAATTTCGCTGAGGCGCTTTGAATTCAGCCATAACGCTGCAGTTCCTGCAGATAACATGAGGTTGCTCATTCCAAGCTGTGTTTACTTATAATCCGTGCCCATTGCAACAGATTGAATAGCCTTATTTTAAAGGCACTGTGACAGAAAGTGACATTTGTACGAGCCCCGTTTCCTAAAGTAACTTTCAAAAGAGAGTTTTGTTGTTGTTGTGAGACTATTTGCCTCATTTCCGGGGGCAGATTACGATACCTATAAAACAGTAGTGAGTTAAAACATCGCTCCACAATAGTTTGTATTGTTCACAGTCCCAGCTGGACTTTCACAGGCAGATGTTGATTGCCTCCAATTTTTCCCCCTTTTTTTTCCAACTTCCTTAACCTCTTCATCCCGGCTAATCCATAAACACACCTGGTAGAATTACAGCTCACTAGCTGCGTGCTTTGGGAGGTCATTTCGGAAACGCGTATTTCCTGAAAGTCAGCCTTCTCCAGAAAAAGTTGGTTTTTTTTTTGCTCAGCGCGAATAGTTACAAAAAGGAAACAACATCATCAGACAAGCATACAGCACGCTAAATACAAAGGGGGGTTTAAAAGAGCAGATTTTCACCAACACAGGTCAGAACGAAAACGCACCATGAAAAATGAATACTGGGGGCAAGCGAAAACCACCGCCCCACTTTTTAAAAGTTGTGACCAGATGGGTTTTTTTCATCCATCACACAGAGACCAACAGTAAAATATCGAGCCAGGCTTACTTATATTTGCATGTTATAGAACGGTTACAGACAGGTTTCTTTTTTCCCTCTCTTTTTGTTTCTCTCCTCTTTTTCAAGTTATTGTTTGTGCTCAAACCTAACTGTCCAAGCCCGAACGCAGGCAGCGAAAACATTTTCTCTTTGATCCCATAATATGGGAAGGACTGAAATGTGCACGTTTGCCTTGCTGGGTCGTGTTCGAGTAGTTACTGTGACAGCTAAACAATCTGCACTGCAATCTCCGCTTCAGTCACATTCAAGCGTCCTCTCTGCTCCTCCCCTCCCCCCAGAAAACCCCTAAGTACAATAATCTGTGACCCCCCCAGATCTGCCGGGGAAAATGCCCTGCCCGGACACGTTTCACAGCAGTTTCCCTTCACCGTTTCCCCACTCTGGAAAGCAGAAAGCCAGCCGCTGCATTTTTGCCACCGTAACAGTCACACTTGGCGATATCCGCTGATTTTTTCCGCCTTTTATTTGTTTGCAGAATGCCCCGCACCCCCAGCACCTCCTCCGCCGAGCACTTCACCGTCCTCCTCCCCCCGAAACCGGGCCCTCTGCCCCAGCCACCCTCGGATACAGGTGCGGGGCCAGTTACCCTCTTAAGCTTCAAAGCCTCCTTTTCCTTGTATATAAACCCACTTACAAATCCTTCTCATGGTCGGCAGCGTCACCGCAACCAACCTTTACCTAATAGCTCCTAATCCAAACAGTTTGGGCAAGCCGAACCGTTGTTTAGACTGGCGGGGTACCGGGAGCCTGGCCGGTAGGGGAGGCGGGCGGCTCATCCCCGGCTTTCCCCGGTAATATTTTACAGTTGACACACACCGCGGTAGAAGCGAAGGGGAAGGGAAAGGAAAGGAAGAGAAGGGGAGGGGGCAGAGCCGGTCCTGCCAGAATATCTTGCCCGGGGGCGAATTGCTATGCTGGCGTAAAAGACGGTTGGCAGGAATTATTTAATTATTTTGATTAATTTTTTTTTTGTTTTATTTTGGGGGTATTCTCTTTGGGTTTCCCCCGAGCAGATCTGCCCTTCGCAGGGCCCGCGGGGGCCGCTCGGCTCCTCTCCCTCCTCCGCCATCCCGCCACGCCGTGGCAGCACTGAGCACCCGCTGCCCCGCAATAAATAATCCGGCGCTCACTGCAGCTCCAGTCCGGCGGATACCGCAATGCAATGCAAATGCAATGCTTTATCAGCCCGGCAGCACCACCACAGCCGGGGATAACACTTAAAGCCCTCCGAGCCTCTCGTTCGCCTTGGGGAGGCAGGAGCGGCGGAGGGGAATGACTGGGAGGGTGTCCGGGGAGCTGTTCCCGGAGCCCGCTCACCCTCGCCGGCATACACTGTGGGGCACCGACCCGCTAGCCGCCGCTCCCCCGCCCCAGCGCCGCACGGTAACAGTCACAACAAGGACAGAAAGGGAAAGAAAAAAAAAAAAAACAAACCGGCAAAAGCTCCGTCTCCGGCGCTCGGATCGGTTTATCCGTTCCGCGCAGCCGAGGCGCGCAAGCTACCCAAGGCGGAAAGCGCCAGGAACGGCGTTCCCATGAACCCACGGAGGGGCACGGGGTTTTTACAGGCAGCGCTGGATCTGATAAAGAAAATCAAAGACACATTCCGCGCTGTTTCCCTAATCTAGAAATAACTTTCGCCTGGACATGCCGGCAAAGCCAGGAGACATTGTGCTGACTTGTGGGTTTTTTTTTTCTGAAATACTAAAACATAAATTACATCTAAATTTCAGCCGTCGCAAATTAACTTTAAGTTAATGCTGCGAAATAATGAAAACATAAATTGATGTTTGGGGGGATAATATTTTTTTTTCCTCACGTTGGGAATAAGAAAAACAACCCTCGGATTGATGCTGTAAAACTGAATTATTAGAGAATAACCCGCATGTCACAGAGCCCCCTGGCAAATGCAACCAGAAATAAATGTAGAAAAAAAAAAAAAATCCACGGCTTCCTCGCTAAATAATAGAAAGTAGACATTTTATTTTGGCATAATTTTGCATGCATTGGTTAAGTCGAAATCAACCGAGCTGCAGCCACGTCTATTTCTGGCCACCAACATTTCCACTTGCTTTAATTGCACATGTCTAATATTTAAACGTATTAAACCATGTTTCCCTGCTTACGGTAGTGTCATATACATTTCTCACCTTTTAGGTTCTGGCTCACAGGAGCCCCTGCGACTTTGACAGCTGTCGCTTTGGCTGCACAGGAGACGAATCGCCCTCCTTTTGGTGCCAGAAGAAGCAGGAAATTAGCCAGGTTGCTAGTTGAAAATCTGCCACGCCAGTGCTTTGAATCCAATATGCCACACCTTCCAGCGGGGGAACTGGAAATTGCCATCCCGGATCTGTGTTCTAGGCGGCTGCTTATGCCGAACCTCCGCACACTTTGTTCACTATTGCCTTACAAAGAACAAATGAAATGGGGATTGAAAGCCAGAGAGATCCGAAGCAGGACAGAGCTCAGCAAAAGAATGCGGCTCTATTCTCGCAAGGGAAATTATAAAAAAGTTCATGTTCACGGTTACCATCCACATGACCGACAACGACCAATGGAAAAACCGAACAACTCATAAAGTTGTATTGCAAAGTTGTAAATTTTCATAAACAACAACGGATTTATGGCCTTTTCCTCATCACTAAGAAGAGGCAGGTCTTAGAGAGGCGCCATCTTACCACAGAGGCAGCACTGGAGTTTTTTAAAAGACCTGGAGTTTGTACTAATTTTATTAAATTTGCAATTAGTATGTTGAGCAGGAACGGAGTGTGGTAGAAAAGGGAAACTTGTGCGCAAATGATGCTCTAGTTCTACCTGTATTTACCCGGGCGAATAAAGGGACTTTTCGGATAACCTTTTAAATTTATTATTATTTTTATTATTAAGATTGAAAATTTCAGATCTCCTTGACATTACGTGGTACCTGGCAAACATTATACATTTTCTAAAGCGGTGGGGTTTCCCCTCCTTTTTAATGCCCCCCTGCTGCCCTCGAAAGCCGCCTGCATACCCCGCACGTCCCACACATGTACCCGACCAGATCATTTACAATTGGAAGTTTCTCACCGCACTTTCTGCTTATTACGAAATATTATTTCACTGCGCGCGATTTCGGCTAGCTCGCCGGCCGCCTGGATTAGCGTTAGGATTGCGAGAGGACGGGAAAACAGTGGAAGGAAACCTTCCCATAAGGCAGGCTTTTCGCTTTATTAATCAACAGCACTAGGGGGGAAAAATAACGAAGATGAGATAGAGAAATTGACTGATTCCTATCAATCCATCACCTTCGATTTTTTCCATTCTGATTATTGAAAATAATATTTATATGGTCTAATTTCTGTATTTGTCAATGTAAATTATTTTTTGATGCTTCCTTCGAACTGTTTCCCTAATAAAGAAACACAATTCATTGTCAACAAGCATATTTATTTTCTGTATAACATAAAACACATTTATCGTGGGAGATACTTGAACACGGTATCACTTCCAAAGAGAGTTCACGGACATTTTTTTTCCCCACTTCCAATACTTACACGGCATATCCAAATGTTCACAATGAACACATCGAAACACATTGTAACATACAATTTTTGAAAGAACTTTAGCCAAACCTTTACGACGGATTTATACAGAGTTCTTAACAATACACCATGCTACAAAGTTTCCAAATTAATTACATACTTCCCAATTTATGATATGATCTTACAAATGAGCTCCAAGACGAATATAAATGACAAAGAAAAAAAAACCCAAAACCAAAACAAAACCCAACCAGTATCTGTTATTGTAGGAAAAATCACGGTATTACATAATAACATTTTCAGATAATCAGGACAAACAGTTTGTTGTTTGTTGTGGTTTGTTTTTTTTAAAGCTGGTTACATGGTCATTTAAATTCAGTTTTCAAATAACACTTCCTCTATATTAAGCAAGGTCAACCTAGAATAAGAAAACGGCCTTTAGCAAAGGCAGCCGAAGGTAGAAGCCAATGGGAGATATTAAACCGCTTTGTACAATATTGGTGTGTGTTTGCTTCCTCACTCGGAATAGTAAAGAATCAAGAACAAAGATATATTGCAGCATATGGTTTTCATTTATAATTGCTTTGGAATAAATATATTATTTTAAATTTAAATATATTCAGCCTTTTCGGTACCAAATTCTATACCAAAGCTATGGATGCGTGCTTTTCAAACGACTACGCTTACATTTCTAAAAGCATTTTGCGATTCACATTAGTAATCTTGTAACATCCTTTTGACTACTAAAATACAGTATACTTTCAAAGATAGGTAGGCGGAGCAAGATATATAGGTAGTCTGGAAAATAGGTAGTACAAATCATTGCTGTAGATCGTAGTGGTTTGTGGAACATCTCCCCCCCCCACCCCCCGCCCCTTACTTGCTGTTTAACCTTTTGCTAGTGTAGCTGTTAGTTATGATATTTTTTTAACAATAATTAACACAAAAAAAAAGAGAAAAAGAGAAGTGCAGAGCTACTTATTCAAAGTTAGGTAGTTTTTTTTTAATGTGAGCCTAATGCACTTTTCCCCTTACACGTGATTGGGACTATTGAGTCAGGTAGTTACTTCGAAGGTCATGGTTTACTATTTGTGCAAGCAGCGCTTCTCCCAGTGAAATGTCCCCTGGAGAAACCCACCCACCCGTTTTTGGGTAAACGAAAAAAAATAAATGATTGTAGAATGCTCTTAGGAGATATTACCAAAAGGTTCGGCACAGGGTAGGTCTGGGGAGCACGGGAGAGTGGACAGAAGACTGGGAAACCGCCCCAAGAAACGTTTTAATGCCTGCAAATGCTCACTTGCAAGATGATTATTGGAGGGAAATGATTTTTTTTTTTTTAATAAAAACATTAAGTCTCTCTCCATTATTTTTTTTTTTCCTTCTTTAAAGGGAGCTTTCCCAACTGTCATGTGCATACATTAGACTAAGAGATCGCTTCCTCGAGTGGGACTTCTTAGTCCTCCTCTTCCTCGTCTTCTTCCACTTTCTCGACAGAGGCTGCTGCTGACGTGGGCTCTGTGGGAGCCGGGGTGCTGGAGCTCTCTTCCTTGTGCTCCTTCTTCCACTTCATCCTCCGGTTCTGGAACCAGATTTTTATCTGCCTCTCCGTCAGGCAGAGAGCATGGGCGATCTCTATCCTCCGCCGCCGAGTCAGATAACGATTGAAGTGGAATTCCTTCTCCAGCTCCAGGGTCTGGTAGCGGGTATAAGTCTGGCGCCCTCGCTTCCTATCTGGACCTGAAAACAGGCACAAACGGCCAGGAGTTAGGCAAGAAGAGAGAAGAAAGTTTTCTCTTTCCAAATTTTTCCCTTTTCCTTCTTAGTATGCTTTTTATAAATAAATAATAAACAACAAAAAAGCTGCCGAGCAACAGTGAATGATACCCTCCTCTCACTTCCACCCGCCCCCTCACTTTCCCATAACAAAGACATTTCAGCCACACGACCTGCCTTGTTCGGGCAAGGCAAAAATTAAGTTCCTCGAGACCTAGAAAAAGTGGAGAGAAAGCATTCAGGGGAAGAAGTGGGGGAGGAAATTGCTTTTGGGAGGAGGAACTTTCCCCCCAGGCGATGTATTTCCCTAAAACCTTCCAGACTTTCACGTTTCGCAAGTGGAAATAGAGATCTGAAAGGTTAGGCCGTATTTATTTTATTTTAATATCTTGGGCTCCCTCCACACACACCCCCACCCTGCCTGGATCGTAAACAATACATCGCATTTAACTCCAGATTTGAGAGCTCTTCTTTTTCACACACTCTCCCCCACAGTACCCCTCACACCCCCCCCCCCGCCCCCTTTTCCTGTTTAGTACATTTCTATAGATCCTTATCTCCGTGGAAAGGGCAGGGAGGGACAAGAGTGGCACGTCTCCGCAACATGGGCTGGCAAAGTCCTCAGCAGCCCGTCCCCCGCTCCTGAACGCCCCTCTCCCCTCTGCTTTTCCCAGCGACCGGGATTTTTCTGCCCAACTTCGACAGAGAGCAGGGGAGCCGCTTACCCGTGGGGGCTCTGGAAGCCCGCGGTCAGCTCTCCGCATTTCTATAGCAAACAGCACAAATCAACTCAATGCTAAAATTCCATAGCAAATGGAGTTAAATAAATTTACGAGGCTAGAACCCATTAATTGGGCAATAAAAAGTTTTATGATACTCATTTACATACAATGCCACGGGCTTTCTACGCAATGGCGCCTCGGCTATAATTAAAACCATAAAGGCTGTGCTGACAATAATTCTGGCGACACGCTTTGCCTGGCTGCCACGGCTTCAAGCCCTCTTCGCTTGCCCCTACCTGAAGACCTCATCCAGGGGTATATCCGGAAATTAGGCTCAGCCTGGTTGTGCAGGTTGCTTTCCTCCGCTTTCTCACAGCTGGGTTTGGTTAGCTCATTGCAGAGGACGGGAATGTTCTGATCAAAAGAGGAACAATGCAGGTTGTAGGCATCAGAGCCCAGGCTGTATCCGGAAGAGAACGGGCTTTGATATATGGTACTGTTCACATTGTACAAGCCGGGCATGGAGGAGGCGAAGGCACCCGCGCCTGGTCCATAGCCGCTTCTCTGGGAGTTGCTTGCAAAGGAGCAAGAAGTAGGCTCTGCATTTTGGAAAAGAGAAGCCCCCGCCGTATATTTGCTAAAAAGCGCATTCACATAATACGAAGAGCTCATAATTTTGACCTGTGATTTGTTGTCCGGCAGGCTTCAGTGTCGGTTTTACGAGGTAGCGTGATATATGATAACATTACACCCCCAGATTTACACCAAACCCCATTTTCTTTTGGACTGAGCTGCCTCGAGCACGTGACCGGTCATATGACGGCGTCCGCCAATCCCCGCCCGCCTCACAGGTGGTGCCGGCCGCGGCCCGCCGGTGCCCGGACATGGACGGGTCGGGGACGCCGCCGCTGCCGTCGGGCCCGGGAGCGCCCTCCAGCCGCCGCCGCACCCTCGCCACCCCGCGGACGGGGTGCAGTGCTTCCCATTTCCCGAGGGGGGGACGCGCACATAATGTCCCTTAGACAAACCGGGGGTGTTGTGAAAAATGAAATCAGACAAAATATAGAGTTTTACGGAGGCTGCTCGTCACCATTGCCTTATTTCTTTTTTTTTCCCGTAAGGGGGAAAATAAGCAGGCGGTAAGCCGGGAGAGGGTTTTGGAGAGGTACCCCGCACTCGCAGGGCCCAGTGGCACCGCCGCCGACCCTAAAGGGCTTCCCCGAGGCTGTAAAATCAAGGGGTCCTCCTGGAGTGAGCCTCCCGGTTTGCCCTCCCTTTACGACAAAAAGGCAGGGTCACTCTCCCAGGAGAGGGGGAAAAAGAAAAAACAAAACACCAAAACAGAAAAAATAAAGTACTAGAAAAAAAAACCCACATTTCTGAACGCCTGAAAATGAAAAACAACCAAAATCCCCCGCGCTGTAGAAATCTCCTACAAAAGGTTTCAAATCTCAGCAGTCTGTTTCATGCCCCTTTTACCTTTACGGTCCTACATACCTTACGGTCCTAAGGGTGAGGCGGCAGCGGGACGCTCAGATGGCGGGGAGCGTTCCTGCTTTTCTAAACAGTGGGCTCCCCAACAATGCGAATGGCTCCTCATTGAGGATGCTGCACTGTGCCCTTCCTTTAAACGGATCGTAAAATGAGTTTCCTTCCCTCAGACAGGGAGTCCTGGTAAAGACAGCTTTTACTGCCTGACTGTATTGCACATCATAAACTGGAAGGAGCACAATGGAATTGCCCCGGAAATTCTCCTTTCAATTATAGTTTGGTGCTCCGTGTACAAAGACTTTCTCACCAGTTAAAATTGTTCTTGGCGATATTTAGCACGGACCCTAAACTTTACGTTTTTGTAAACGTGGGACATCCTCCCCCACACACACACTATACACACACCTCCAACACACACACATACATACGCACCCTTTGGGACTCTTTATACGTGGTTACTGCAGCCCCATGAATATAAGTTACTGACAGAAGCAAGTAAATCCTCTACAGCCAGATCCCTGAGATATTGGTGCTTCAGAGCACGCAAATGTGGCTACTGTATGTAGATATTTGTCAAGTGTTAAGCACGTGAAAATACAGTTATTATTTGCAGGCATGAGGGAGAAGCTGGTGAACGAGCCGCATTCTGTTATTTCTTCCAATTCGCCAACATTAGACAATATCCCTGCGGTCGCAGTTGTGATGTGGGAACACGCTGGCAGAAGAGGCTGCTTTAAAGGAAAAAAGGCCCAAGAAGTTAAACGAATGGATGCAAACAAGACGACGACCAAGGAGATCAAAGAGGCTGAAGTAGATGACATTAGACCAATAAATTGCTCCTCTGGTGACAACATACCAAGATGCAAGAAGAAAGAAACAGCAAATATAACTAGTGTCTAGACTTAAATTTTGATAGCATGGTACCGAATAGATCAGCTGGGTGGTTGTATTTCGAGCCCTCTGTTTCTGGATAATTTACACGTTTATATATTTTTCTTTGTGTCTGTGTGTTTACTGCCGCCACCTTTTTCATATATATGTGTGTGTGTGAGTGTATATATATGCTGCTTTCAGCTTTTGGGTTTTTTTCTGCCATCCTTTAAGATTTCTGAAAAAGTCTTCTCTAAATAAACCTTAAACCGGCTTCTAGACATGGCCCCCCCCACCTTATTTACTGCTTCTCTCCCCCCCCCTCCCCGCGCGTTAGCTATATCGCTGTCTCTGAAACAGATGCTGAAATTTCCCGTTCTATCGCTCACAAAATCAGGGTGGATCCCTGAGTCTGAAAACGCACTTTTAAATTGACATTGTAAATTTTTTTTCCCATTTTTTTTTTTCCCCCCAGTCGAGGATACGGCGAACGGGCGCAGATTTCAAGTTTTCCGTCATCGCAATGTTCTCACAAGCTTTACAAAAAATACTGTAGGCGTGATTCATTGTATTTATTTTTTTTTCTCCTGTGAGCTCTGGACTACCTTCCTTCTCCTCCTGAGCTTTTCCGGGAACTAAAATGTAGTGACAAAAAGGTGTTCATAAGTAATAAACGACATGGGAGCACTACATGATTATGGCTTGTGTATTAAACAGTATCTTGATGTGGTTCATAGTAGAGAAGATTCTGTTGTTTTGGAATCTGTGCTCGCTGTAATTTAACCACGATTATAATGAAGCGCACTGTGCCAAGTTATTACTTAGTATGACGATGCATAAACACTTTTAAATTTCAATATAATTTTATTGCCCAAGGAAAAAAAATCATAATAAGTTTAGCAATGCCACTGTAGACAAACATTTGATCTGAAGGCTCTTGTTAGAAAGCAGGGAGTGGCTGTTACTCTCTATCCCTGGAAAGAATTAAATCTTTGAAACAGTGCGTGTAAAAAATAGCTCAGTGCTCGCATTCCTTCCCGATTCTGAATTTCGATATAAAGGGATTGGTTTTGATTTAAGGAAATTTAAATAAGCCGCGGGAAAAAAAAAAATATTCTGTTGCGGAATACTATGCATACACTTGTTTGCTTCTCTACCTTAAACTTGAAAAATACTGCGTTCATACTTCAGACCCTATTTTATGTTTCTTTTCCTTCTGCTTTTATTTTCCTTCCACTTACTTTCCCCCCTTCTCTTTTGGCAACTGCAGTCTGAAAACACTCCAATTCCCCGCTAAGCCTCATTCTCAACACGTTAAAACCAACAAAAGCAAAAAGGGAGGAAAAAAATAGAGAACTAATGGAAGAAATCAAAATAGAAGGCGAGGAGAAGTTAGGAATGACTTTGAGAGACACGTCAAGTTTGCAGAACATCAGTCTGTCCTCATCTGTATCATATAATTACAGCGGGTCCCACTGAGCTGAAATTGCTTGGGACACAAGCAGAGCTTTTTATTTGGATCAAAGACAGCTGTTGAGGAATTTCAATCGCCGGTAAATAATTTTCGAACACGGGGTTTGCGGTGCTGCAATTTCCCGCTATGCGGGGAGGAGACGGGCACTGGAAAACCGGTCCGCTTCAATCACCAGTCAGACGGGGAAGCTCTCCGGGTGCTCTCCTCCGGGGTTGATCCGGGCACCCTCTTCCATCTTGCCCGAACCCCTTAATTCCCCCTTTCACCTAATATTTCCTTTTTGAGAAGCCCTTCGGAAGGTCAGGACAGCCTGTTTGCAGTCTCAGAGCCTCACCGGAGAAGGGTGAAAGTCTGGGCCAAGAGAAAGAGGAGCTAGTGGTTCAGTGCCAGGGCTCCATCCATCTCTATTAGCTAATAGGAAATGATTCGGCGTTTTGAGAATAATAAATGCAGGATATGTTCTTGGTGCAGACCAAGCTTTACTTTTGCCACGGGTGCACCCAGCGGGGCCAGGCGGTGAACGTCACCCTAACGGCGCCCGGTGCCAGAGGGGCACCCCTCGCTGTACTCCCAGGATAAGGAAAGGGAGGAGGGGAACCTCAAACCTCTCGGACCTTGTTAAAACCAAACCAGAGGCTCCCACCCGAGTTATGCTCCCATAAAGTCGACATTTTAGGAGCTTTCGGGGAGGCGGCCGAGCTCTTGATGGCGGGCAGGAGCAGGCTCTTTCGCTGTGTCACAGCGCCACCTGCCGCCACTGCCACGCCACCGCCGCCTCCCGCCGTCTCGCCGCATCGTGGCCTGCGGAGCCAGCGCCTCTGCCCGCCAGCGCCGGGGAAGATAAATGTCCACCTCCCAGCCTGGATTTAAGCAGGGGAAGGCCAATAAAAGGTTGTTATTTCCGCTCTCCCGCTTTATCTAAAACAGCCAGACAAAACAAATGAAAAGGCTTTTGTAGAAAATCTTAATTGTGGCTGGACAGTTGTAAACTCATTAAGAGCCGAATTCCAGACAGTTTGCAGACCCGTCATTTATTACACACTCTTAATGCTGATTCTTTGAAGTTGCCTCTGTCTGCAACAACAGAGGGCGTCCCAGCATCCCCAAATACTGGCTCAGGGATCAATTAGGGGCTTTTTGTGTGTGTGCACACCAGAACGAGCTCCCTTTTGCTAATTAGAACTCATCAAATCTTACCCCGGATTTCTCCCTCTTTTTTTTTTTTTTTTTTTTTTTTTAAGGTGAAGCCGAAAGCTTTTTCCTCCCTCCTGCAGTTCCACACATCTGTAAACTTCTTGCCGGCTCCCTAAGTTTTGTCTTTAGCCCTGCAGCGTTTTACACCCCATAAACGGTAACAGCAGTCATTTTATTTTATTGCACTGTATGGCTCTGCATTTTCCTAACAACAACTTCTGCCAATGCCATAAGTGTGTTCCATCTTATTTTTCTTTAAATATACATATGTGCGTGTAAGTGTACGCCCGTAAAACAAGAAGGCTTGTATTGTTATTCGACGTATTTGCAAACAAGACTTGGTGGGCCGCAGAAGTCTGCTGCGGCTCATATTATGGAGGATAACTGCTCTGAGCAGTAAGATGCCCGCCCAAAACAAGGGCAAATTTCAGCAAGCTCATAGACTTTGCTATTTTCTTTTGTTGCTGAGCTTGGTTTGGCTTGGGGCGGCGGGGGAGGGGTAGGTGCAGCGGAGGGGTGGGGGGCGTGTGTGTGGAAATCTTCCACTCCAAAGAAACCTTGTTGTGTTTTTAAAAAATAAATCCTATTTTGTCTCCTGTGCTCTAGCCTGCTGCCAGCCACCTCTTTCCTTCGGCTAAATCAGCGAGTAAAATTGACACCATAAATTCTGCTATAATTGTCTGTAAAATTTTATCTGTACCTATATCTCTATATATACACTATATATACACATATAATCTGAGGTGCTAGTAAAATGCAATGCGTTATTTTTATTTGCCACGGGAAATTTAA